TAATAAAACGTCTTGCAACAGCAAAATATGGGAAGGATTACGGGTAATGCGAGAAAATCTGACTGATGAAATTGTAACTGAAATAAATTTGACCTAGTAAAGGATACAATTACACACTCACAATCACACTCACACTTAACGATACACGAACCCTTATACACACAAACATGCGTGCAAGTAGAACTTATGCAATGCCAAATATACACATATACATGTATATATACATTTATCTAAGCAGCTTCTAAATGTATATAAACAAATATATGTATATGTATACTTTTAAGAAATGTGTGGTAGAAGTTTTTTTCGTAATGCAACAAAATACGTTATGATTTTACTCGAAAATCTAAATGTTGCTACGAATCGAATTTATAGGAAAACATAATTAAATAAAACAAAATGAAAAAAAATACAAAAAAAATGTTCAAAAAAATTATTTAGCATTCAACATGAACCATACATACAACATTTAACACAAGTATTAATAAAAGAAACACCAAACCAATACCACCAATAACAACAACAACAACACACAAACAAACAAGTGCGTACAACATGTCGTATACTCGCTTGTACGCTGTCTTAACATTTCAAACCTAGTAAGTTAGTTGCGTTCTCAGCAGCAAAGAGATTGACACAAACAGAGAGAGCGAGAGAAAGAAAGAGCAGCTATTAAAAATTCTACTGCTGCTGCTGTGATTTGTGTGCTGTACTCTCTCACCATCAGACCAACAGACTCTACACTTTTAACTCCTCCGCTATACTTATTGTTGCTGTTAATACCATATTTCTTAATTGTTACATTTTTCGCGCTCTTATAATTCCTCAATTGACATGCCACCCACCCAACTACGAAAAATGTATTTACAGCATCGCCAGCACATATTTCAACTGCAACCAGCGCGTGTATTTGCCTTAAATGTGAATGTATGTACGAGTACATATGTGTGTGTGTACATACAAATGCATGCATTAGTGTATTTGTATTCGTCTTTCATTTAAGCCACTTCCTCAAGGATATCGTATGATAATTTTTATTGTTATCAAACTATAGAGAATTTACTAAAGAGACATATATACATATATATATATATATATATATATAATATTAAAACGTTGCAATATTTGCACACACACACACTTATAGTTGTAAATCCTTACATAAAATACATAATGCTTTATGTGTGTTCCCATTGGGAATTTATTACACATTCCTAGCATGATGATGACTAGGACAACAGCAACAAAATACGAAATTAAAGTAATGACATTTCATGGAATAGTTTTACTACCACTACCACAGTTTCTTCTTCCAATTCTTATCCATTTTCATCTTCGATTTCTTTTCCATTTTACTTCATACAGTTCATTTCATGCGATGTTAAGTTAGTTGGTTGTCAAATAATTTCAATTCCATCTTTCTTTCTTGGTATACGTTTATCTTATGCATTTCGTTGCAATACTGCACATACTCGTAAATCAGAATTCAAATATACAGGGTGTGTCCAAGAGAAAACAGCCCTAAATACTTCAAAATAAACTTGAAAACTTTAATAAATTGAAATTTTTTAGAAGAATAACCAGTGACGCAAAGAGGATTACGCCAAAGGGGGACAATGATTGGAGTGATTGAATGATTGGAGTGGTAATTCAGGTTAGCAGTTATTATGCCGTTGTCTATAATTAACGATTTTTCGCCATTTACTACATTTTACTACAACTTTTTTTGCAGGAAATATCGTAAGATATAAAAAAAAAGACAAAAAGAGGATGTAATAGAACATGTTTGTCCAGACCAGGTACGATCGCGGGTCACTTGAAGTGACCCGTTTAGAGCTTGGAGGACTGAAAAATCATCTTTTATTTCTTCACCAAACAGGATCAAATAATCCAATAGGACTAAATACAAATATTGATAAAATTCCATTTCGCCCTTATTTTACTTTTAAAGATATTACTGGATTTATTATTTTAATTATATTTCTTACGTTCATATTTTTTCTGGAGATATATAAAAATACAGTGATAATGTAAAAAATTAGTTTTATTCATTTATTCATTTGAATAAATATTTTTTTGTAATACCATTGAAATAAAATAATGTAATTTAACCAAAATATATTAAAGAAAAATTTGCCTAATTGTAGTAGATTAAAAACATATTACGGGTCGCATATATATTAGCAGCGGGTTACATGTCACCCGTGATTTGGACAGTTCTGTACTAGAAGACATTTTTATTAGTTGTAGTATTTTTACAGTGTATTATCTGTAGATTTTATTGTCAAAGCGAGAAATCATCCGTTAATTTTACCTGGTGCTGATAAGGAAATTCCAAAGTTAATACATTGGACCGATTTTATACAGTGCTCATACCAAATTATTCCATGCAAGAGTGGTGTGAGAAAAGGTGTGAGATGAGAGATGAAATTAAAATGTTTCATCGAAATTGAATACTAAAATATTTTAGCATTCTTTCAAAAAAATTTGGGCTATCAGAAAGCAATAACGGTCACTACTGTGAACCGGTTACCTGAGTACATTTTCTCCAAATACTCAAAACTGAACAACAACAGGCTCATCGTTTCTGGAGACAGACATATTAAAATATTAATGTATACTATTAACAAAATTGGCCTATTAGAAAATAATATCGGTCACTACGGTTAATTTAACACATTCTTTTTGAATTTGAAGAACAGACTTAACATACTTTGCGACAGACTCGACGTACTACAAAATATTAGATTCGGATATAGTTTCCGAATTAATTAATACTAGTGTTAATTACTAAGTATAGTGTTAGCTATATATCATTTTTAATATATGCAAGAGAAGTTATCATAAATCTCTTATTCCTTATTCAAATTATATTAATATATCTGTACATAACCATAAAATAATCCAAAGAAACGTAATCGTAAAAATATGTAACATTACGAGAAAATTTCTAAATAAATATGTTTATTTTTTTTTTATTACAAATATTATAAAAACTGTATGAATGACAACTAGTATGTTAACACTATAACTAGTCACAAAAAAAAATTAATTTTTGTTTCTGGTAGCCTTTGATATCTTCACATGCATTTAGTAAAAGTTTTCTAGAATCCCGACTAAAACAACAAATATAATAGCAACAACAAACGAGCTTAACTTCCTTCCAAGATTGCCTGAAATAGATTCTTCGGCATTAAGCCGAGAATGTTTTGCTCAATATTAATAATAATGTTAGTCAAAACTGAAACTAAGTACTATCTGAACAAAATTGTGCTCTCACAATCCAACACCTTCTAATTCTATGGAACAAAATCTTCACTTTATTAAAAGTATATATATGGTTTAATATAACTGGTGTAGGTAGAATGGACAACAAGAATCGCTGTTCTTAGTATTCCGCGAGGTCGGATCACTCGGTATAAACACTGGATCATAATTTATGGGATTAACACTAGAACCTTATGGTCGCTAGACAAAAATACAACAAAAAGTCTTTAGGGCCTCAGCAAATCTACAGTTCGTGTATTTATTGGAGTACTAACGAAGCACTGCGCCATTGCGCCTATGCACCAACGGTAGCGAGTTCAAATAAATGTATTGTGTAGAAGTTGCCAAGATGGGGTGGAGGTAGAATCCATCAACCACTTTTTGTGTCTCTGTTCAGGACTGCAGACAAGGCGACGTCAATATCTAAGGGATCGTTTTTTCACTCGCCTGGCAGAGATAACGATAGTAAACTTGTCGGATCTCCTTAACTTCATCTAGAAAACCAAATGGTTTAATAAGAATAGTACACGAAGATAACTTTTATTAACAACTTGCCTCTCTCTGCAAAATCTTTGAGGGCATCACAATGGGCAATATAAGTGTCCGAGTGGAAATGCGGGCCTTCTCAACCTAACCTAACCTAATATTCCGCACCTAAGAATGTCACACCTTAGATAAACTATAGTATAAGCCATAGTACGATTATTATCAAAAGAGGATCAACAAAGTAGTAATAAAGTAATAAAGTCACATGAAGAATTTGAATAAGACAAATTAAAGCAAAATAATAAATACCCATAATAATATCCCGATAACAATGTATATATATCTTTCGGATGAATATAGTTTCACAGAAAATTTAATGAAACAGATTTGTAAGTATTTTTAGTTTATAATATAATACCAAATTAGGTGTAGTTTTTATTTTAATTTTTTAATTTTAATTTTTTTTTTTTGACCTAAAGATTTCTACAATATTCGAGTTATACAATGTTCTTAATTATATATACATTACAAACTTAAGACCTATGTTTATGAGACATTAATATACATTTATATAATATTTATAATAATAGACCTTTCCTTTAGTAAACATATCGCAAAAGATCAATTTTGTTAGACTTACGTATGCAAAACACGTAACAGAGCTTTAAGTCAAAATTTCCAATATGAATAATAATTCTTTGCAATTATTGGTAAGAATATTTTTATTTTACATGATTGTGGAAAAAATATGAATTTTCTGCCTTTTAACAGTAATACGATAAATAGAAAAAGTGACGTATTTGTTACGAACAATGACGACAAAAAAATACGAATAATTAACGAAATCATTCGTTGGCAGTTAACTAGGAATTTTGAATACACTTCTAAAACCCTTTCACAATAGACCAATTTTCACTCTTGGCAACCATGCAATTTAAGCCGCTTATTAGTTAAGTGATTTCAAAAGGTTGGATTAAATAAGCCAGCAGTGTTGTTGTTTCATATGTTATTTTTAAAATAAGCGGTTGTTCTTTTGTGATATGCTTACAAAAGAAAATGCTTAATATAACATTTATTTGAAATATAAATTTCACCTAATATTTTTTTTTTCGAAAAATAATTTAGTTTGTCATTTAAAACATAGAGAGTATTTAAACTATGTAAAATATCAAAACTCATCAAAGCATGCCGACAGTACAAAAACTTTTATTATTTAATGTAAAAAATTTATTTTAATTCAAATTCAGTTATTTTAAAAAACAGTACAATACGTTTTCTATTTTGGACGTAAAAATTTGAAAAATGTGGACGTTATTAGTGACCATCTGTATTATTTACAATTACTGTAAATTCGCTTTCCCGAACTTGAAGTCATGTACGTAAACATGCTGGTATTTTATCTATTAAAAGTTATATGTTTTATATTATAATAATTATTATATACATTGTTATAATTATTATGTATTATATAATATTTATATTAAATAGTATACATTATTGTTTGTATATTATATATCAGTTATCATATATTATATACTGTGTATTATATTATATTATATACGAAGCAATAACTATTAGAGAAGCTATAACCTGTTTGAACATTTCTTATTTATATATAATTATTATATTATATTTTATATATATAATTATTGCTTTATATATAATATATATAATTATAATATTATATATAATTATTATATTATATGTAATATATCATATGCATAATATATACAGGTTTAGGCGATTGAAGTGTTATCAACAGGTATAGCTGTCAAACTGATTCAAGTATTATTATATTATAAACGATATATTGCATATTATATATTATTTATCACATATTATGTAATATATATATTATATATTATATACATATATATTTTATGTTATAAAACATATATTGTATGTTACACATTAAATACACTATAATATCAACAATTAAAGAAGTTCATGTCACTTTCGTATCCTAGATATTGTTGACCGTCTGTCTAACCTTACCTCCTCCGGTAATGTTTTTAGCATGTTTAGTATCGATCGTGAGTTGTGGGTTACACTTTTAACATTTGCCATGTTTTTAATATGTATTAAGTTATGCGAGACGTTCTTACAAGTAAGTTTTTAATTACATATATAAGTTCAACAGTTGATTAATTTTTAAATTAAATGTATCAAAGCATTATAGGTGAAGAGTTATATTGTTAATATGATTATCAACTTGTCTTTCAGGATATCCTGCAAATGCAACCAGAACTTCTACATATACACAATTTCCCTATGCCAATAATGCCATTGTTGGAACAGTTCCCCGTACAACATCAACATTTTCAACAGATTGCAAATGACGAATTAGGAGGAGGTGATGCGCAAATTTTAATACAGGATAGTGAATCAGAAAGTGGTAACGACGATGACGTTGACGAATATTTTTTGGAATACTGAATGGAAAAAGGGAAAATGTTTATAAATTACCAATTTTAACAAAAAGTGTCATTGCAGATGAAAGAGTTTTCATCTCTCCAAATTTTAAATCAAATCTTAACATCATTTGACAACTAAGCATAAGTACTCATAAATGCGATATGTTTAACGTATTTTTTAAAATTCAAAAAGTTTTGCTGTAAATTGGTCAATGACAGCATAAGTCCATTCAAATATTTTAAGGTTTGCGAAATTCCACAAAATTTTCATTAGAAATATAATGCCAATATAGAAAACAATTCAGTCTGTTTTAATCAATTCTCATTTGAAAGATATAAATTATAGATGTCAACATACATATGACAAGTCAAAAGAAGCAATTGTGCTAAAACACTGCAATGCTTACAACCACTTTTCAAACATATCAACCTTAGCGTGAAGAACAGAAAACTGAGCCAGATAATTAGACCAGCATTACTTTATGGGTGTGTCACGTATAGTAAAGCTGCCGACTCTACTATACAAAAGCTACAAGTCGCTCAAAGTCAGGCTCTCCGAAGGCTCTTCGAAGTGCCTGGTAAGAGACGACATGGTAAGAAACGTTAGAATAGACCCGATCAAAAAATACATAAGGGACAGAGCCCTGAAGTTATATGCGAAAATTGACAGGCTATTCTACTTACCACTATCTAATCTTAGAGTAATCACTCAATCACTTAATAATCATGAAGCTTATAGGCAATACAATAAATTAGTCAATGAGATGGGTGGGGGTGGTGAGATGGGTGTAGTACCCCCAGCTATCAAAGAGTAAAAGTGCCCAGTTGCGCTGACTCGAAAAAAGGATCAACATATATATACATATGATGTCTATTACACTAAAATAATTCATATTTTACATATAAACTAATTTATACACACCAATCAATTGCGTGGGAAGTTCGATAAGTCGGCAATGACTGCACTAAGTAATTTCAAAGATATTTATAAAATAAATATCTCATAAGCTGGTAATAGGTTTAGATATTAATATTATAATCTTCGCAAGAAAATGGAGAAGACTAACTCCATTAAGTTGATTCCTGTTAATAAGTTTCATTATATAATTTTTTAATGTAAAAAGTTGACCAGAGTATTGTACATTATAAATGACATTCAACTATAATCAGCTAATTGAAGATAGTGGAGCTAGATCACCTAAAGACGTCTTGAGGACTCCAAAGGAACTGAAACTGGTAATCGTATATAGGCATTCATAAAAACAAAAAAGTAACCTAGACTATGTGCTCTTTTAGATCATAACATTCATTAGCTGGGATTATAATAGCCCATAATAGAGCAATATTATACCATTCTATTAAACCAATTAAATGGAAAAATTAAGATAAAAATATCAGCAACTACAATATTAAAATTGGTCAAGCTATGTTGGAAATGCTACCACATCTACCGTTTTCACCAGATTTGATCTCATCTAATTTTTATAGATTCTAGTTTGAAGAAAAATATTACTAGAACGAAGTTTCAATCGAGTTCAAACCTAATATTTGCATCTAATATGTATTTTATGGACCTTAAATAATCCTATTATTTAGAAGGAATAAAAAATCTCAAGCCTCTGTACCAAGCATTTAATAGTTTCGCGTTGCGTCATCTATTCGGCAGAAATTTTAGACCCTGTTTTAATTCAAAAACACATAGCTCAAATGTCATTTCGGCAAAAGTAATTTTTGTGGGCTCATTTATTTCAAAATGCCAAAACAGAACAATTCATTTAAATGGAGCCCAATCACCGCATCAGCACCATAACCACAAGATATGGTTTTAAAAGTTTATCGGTATTCATCTTCATCTTCTTTCATATCTGAAAACATTTTATATGAAACGAAGGCACTATCGTTCCTATAGAAGAGTATTTTAAAGATCTTTCGGAATCTCACTGCAAAGATGTGCTTCGTAAATAATACTTGAAGATTTTTTTCTTTCAAATAATCCAAATGATTATAAAGATAATAAAAGATAAAATACTTGTATACCATGATTTTTGGTTGCTGAGAGCGGACTTTATTTCTTAATTGCCTACTTAGTACAAAGTAACATCTGTTAGCTACAGAGATTTTTCGTTGAATCTCTAAGCTGTAGTTGTTTTTGTCGTAAATGCTGGTGCCCAAATAAATGAAGCCTTTCACAACTTCGAACTTAAAGCAGTGCTATGAATCCCAAGAAGTTCAGGAAACTATAGATAAAGAAAATAGTAAAGATCACAATAATTCACAGGGTTGTTCAGACCAGATAAGATCGCCGGTCAATTCGGATCACTGAATAGGTTGAAGGGCCGCAGAAATAAATGCATAGGTTTATAATTTTATTTATCATAAAATAAAAATACGGCGATAATGTTAAATTTAGTTTCATTAATTCTTCATTAATTTATCTTTTATAATTCTATGAATATCAACATTAATAATATTTGTTGTTATAATACGCGGGTCACACAAATATTACCGCGGGCCACATGAAGCCCGTGAGCTATGCTTTGGACAGCCCTGATCTATATTATCTATATCATACATGCATTTATTATAATTAACATGTTTTTTTAATAATTAGGAATTATTTATGTTACAAAATCCCGAAGCGTCATTTTGTTAAACCTATAAATAGATTTACGGATCGAATTTTCACACTTGTTTTTGGCTTCTACCTCTAGAATTTGGAGATTCGATAATTATATTTAATTGACATTTATTTTAATAATATTAAAATACATAAATCATGTGCATATGTATACACACAAAATATTTATAGAGTTTCTCTGGTAGTCCTAATCATGGAACTAGTACAAAATATAGTTTATCTGTATATAAATTTTTTATAATTAATTCTTTACTAATAGTATTTTGCTTTAATTTTATTTTATTTTAATATTTTATTTTTTTTTTTTTTTCGTAAATACTTGCTCTAACAGTTTTTGTCCCTCGTCGTCCACGTTTGTAGGTTACTTTGTACATTCGTTTATATACTCGTACATCGATGTAAATATATATATTTACTACGTTGTACCTAGTCATACTACCTGTGGTAAGGGAAGTTTCGTAAAGCATAGGGTAGGCGCACTGTGCGAACTCACAAAAACGAAAATATTGAAAGAAAAAAGCGAAACAATGAAAGGAAAGGAAAAAACATTTTGTACAGCAAACAAAAGGATATAACAAAACAATATCACGGCAACATGTGCAGTCTGAATACAAGTATGTGCGTCCATTTCCGTTTCCGTTACGGCTTGAAGTTTACGCTTCTATTTTCGTTGGTGTGTTTTTTACTACAATTTTTATTCATAATTTTTTTCTCTTGAACAGCATTTGTATTTTTCTTTTCCTTTTTTTTTTTGTTTCTTTTCTTTGTTTTTTTTGTTGTTTTTTTTTGAGTATTACATATTGTATTAGTGTAACAACAATATGACACACTTTTTTTTGCTATTCTCTTTTATATTTTGAGTCGCTATTGACAACTCGGAAAAAAAAGAAGAACAAAAAAGAAAAAAGTAAGCAACAGTTACTGTATGAAGCTTAAAAATCTTCCTAAAGTTTAATTATTATTATGTTTTTTTACTTAACATGCTGTGAGTTTTAATCCCACTTCCACGTACTTGTATTTTTCTAGAATTCTATTTCCTTAATTCTATTTCTCTATTATTAGTTTTTATTGCTTCTCTTTTTCTTTTTAATCTCCGACAATTCTAAGCTAACGCATTTAAGTTTTTAATAAGCTAATCGCAATGCAAGTGTTAAGCACACTGCCACTCACACACTCACACACACACACACACACACACATACATACATACATACACATTTATGTGTATTGACACAATTTACCGCGTTTACACGCTAATCCCACGCTCTCAATGCGTGCAATGTGGCACAAAGGCTCTCTTTTCTCTCATTCCTTCGGCTTTGGCAATATTAAGTCATGCACATGGAACTTTGTTTGTATTGCAATATTTTTTATTGTAATTTTATTCATAATTTCTTCTCTTCTTCTTCGACTTAATTTTCCTATTGGCAATGAAACTTACTTAATGGTATTCAAGATAAAGATAAAGACTTAAGACTTAAGACTTAAGCAAAAATTTTAAGACAATATATTTTCTCCCATAGATTGATTTAAGAAATGCAAAAAGTAAACTCAAGAAAATTTAAAACTTATCAATACACTCAAAACCCGCGAGCTATAATATATATGAACCCAATTATTCCAAAAGTGATACATAGGTACAAATTCGAACAACTCAAAAAGATTTAATAATATAAGCCAGAAAGGAAATAAAAAAAAAAAGAATAGTTCTGTCTTCAATGGATAGATAACATCGGTCTATCAGAAATACAAAACTGATTCATACCAAAAATATTATAAATGAATCTTAAAATTTCGAAAAGGTTTCACAATATAGTCTTTAAGGGAGCTTAACAGTTGTGTCACCTTCGATATTTAAATAGCATCCGTCTATCAAAAATATAAACCGATTTATTCTAAAAGTGATATGTATAAAACTAAAACTTTAGGCACAAATAAACCAGCTTCATGTTTCTGGTAACGAAAACAAACAGAAGCCCTTAAGGTTTAAGTAACCTTTAAAATGGTGTAATCACAGCTTTCAGAAACCCTCAAGAAAATGGGTCCCTAACAGTTATAAAAACTAGAGCATTACATTTAACTCTAAAAGTTTATAATAACAACGTATTCGTTTACAATAGATTTAATTAAAACATTAAACATACCAGAGAGAAGACTTCTGACTAAAAGATAAGGCGTTTTCCTCATAAGAAATTCAAGTATCTATCAACCAATAACTTGCCCATTAACTCGACTTGTGAGCTGTCAGTTTTACGGGACTGGAGTACTTGCCTGAGGTTGCTGTTGCACTCTTAATACAATTCGTTAATAACACGTGGCTCCTAAGTGATCCAGTGACTATCGCTAAAAATAAGACTCTGATCTGGTAACGTAATGGACTTTAATGCTCTACGCGTGATATTTTAAACCTACCAGTATAACCTAACCTTATCTAACCTATATACCAATTAATATCAGCATAGTTTTAAATTAGATATAAATGTATGATTAGTACAATACAAGGAAGACAACAATGTCCTGTGACCAATGAGATCGATTATGTTTTCTATGAAGAGAATCTTCTAAGCTAACCACAACAAATTAGAGTAATTGATGATATTAATAATAACTTTTAGTTTGACTTTTCAGACCTCATTTAAAACACGTAGAGGTAGGTATTGAA